CTGCCCCACCACCCCCCACCTCCCCTTGCAGAGAACAGAACTCAGCCTGGAGCTGGAGGCGCCCAAGTGCCCCCCAACAGAGAATTCCGATCACCCCAGGAGAACCTGTGGAGTCAGTCTAACCCAGTGTTTTCCAAACTCCCACTCCAGGAAGCACCTATGCAGCTCATATTTTGATTTAAGTAGACTTACATCAATGTTCGGTCAAATTAAATTCCACTAAATTAAACTTCACTATCTAAATAAATTTTATTAATTTAGTTTAATTTTATTAAACATTTAAAATTAAATTTAAAAAATTCAATGTAGCCCAGCTGGGCATGGCTCAGTGGTTGAGCATCAACCTAGGATCCAGGAGATCGCAGTTCAATTCCCGGTCAGGGCACATGCCCGGATTTCGGGCTCGACCCCGGGTCGGGGGTTGTGCAGGAGGCAGCCGATTAATGACGACTCTCTCATCATTGATGTTTCTCTCTCTCTCCCTCTCCCTCCCTCTCTCGGAAATCAATAAAGATATATTCTTAAAATAACAAAAAAATTAAAAATTCAATGTATACCAGCAGTATACAGAAAATCAGTGTAAAAATATAAACAATGTTAAATGAAACGTTATTCAAGGATCTGCTGTTGAAAGAATAAAGTAAAAATAAATTCACCCCCATGCCTCCTAAAACAGTGTTTCTGAACTTTTTTTTTTAACATGAACCCGTCAGAAAGGGAATTTTCATCACAATTCAGCACACACACACACACACAAACACACACACACACGTAGAAATGAAGTTTCACAAAAATACTGACCCTTTCTACTACCAATTATTTTCTCTAGAATATTTCATCTTTATTTCTCCCCCACCTCTTTTTTTTAATGCTGGTTATGAGCCACTACATTGTGTTTACTATTGATGGGTTACAACTCAAATTTTAAAATATTGCCTAAAAATCATCGTGTCCCCTCATTCCTGGGCCGTGTGCCTCTTGCTGTGGGAGACACTGGTTTAACTTTTGGCCACTGGTGCAGGTGCATGTGGGAACCGGGGCCTTTGACTGGGCTGTAAAGGAAGCTGGTCCCTCCACCACCCCAGCTCAGAGGCGGCTGGAGGCACCGCCTCGTGGAGGCAGTGTAGTGAGTGTCCATAGTTCAGGGACATCGTACTGGGCACACCTCTAGCATCAAGTCTTAAAATCACAGCCAACATGCTCTGGCATGCTGAGCAACACTCCCCCTGGGTGCCAGATGTGGCTGGCCTGGCATTACCAGGCAGAACCAAAAGGGCAAAGACAACTGACCTTGGTGTAATCGTCAGCGTCCTTCCTTCAACAGCTGTGTGCACGTGTGCAGTTCCAGGGGTCCCCCGGTCTTTTTCACTCCACATCACTAAGTGCATGGTTGTCAGGGTTCCCCCATCCCACCTCCATCCTTACTTGCTATACGACTTTGGGCAAGAGACTTAAGCTCTCCGGGCCTCAGTTTCCCCATCTGGAATAACAGCCACTTCACAGGAGGATGTGAAGATTAATGAGCTAATCCACGGAAACAAGATGGAACAAACGGTGTCTGGCACGTGGAAAGAGCTCAATAGACGTTACATATTACTACTGTTGCTGTTTTTATTATCACGCCTCACTTTGGATCAATCATTGGGGAGAAAAGCCCCAAATTTGAAATAGAGGTAGCCAAGGTCAGATCCTGGCTCTACCAGTTGCTTCACCTTTCTGTGCCATTTCCTTGGCAGAAAGTCAGCCTCCTGCCTCTGCTCCCCCTTTCAGCAGGCTCCCAGGTTGTGTGTCTTCGTGTGCCTTGTACCCCAGAGCTATGAACCAGTTCCCGTGGTTCACGCAGCACTTTCTACTAGTCCCCACCAACTCTTGAGCTTGCATGCTCCAAAGACAGGACCATGACATTAGCACAGGGCCCTGTTTCACGGTGCTGGCCTGATGCCGGGCCTCCTATCAGAAACCAAATGTCAAGGCGAAATGGAGACATCTGTCCCAGATCCCATTGCCGTCTCCCCCTCACTTTGGAGCGGGCAGCTTGTAAGAGAATCCAACAGCTTTGTGTGGTGGCAAGTGGTTTGGCCCAATGAGCGGGCACCCTTGCTCCCCAGGTCAGGCCAGACATGGCTTAGTGTCAGGAAAGTCGGCGCTCTGACAAGGGCAGGCATGCAAAGGTGCTTTGTCCATGGTCAAGGTCTGAAAATCGGAGTTCTTCGGAGAGTTCTCCTGGGACCCAGTTCACCTTCCTGAGCTATCACTTAGCATCTGGTGCCCTCCTCACCTGCAGCCCAGGAAAAGCACCCTCTCCCTCCCCCTCTCCCTCCCCAGGCTGCTGGCAGAGGACCTCAGGTGTGTGTGAGCAGACTCCACATACGTGTCTAGGACATCACCACTGACCGCATGGCCTCAGCAGGCGCCTGTTAAATGTGGGCAGCACTAGAGCCCTGAATCTCAGCCTTGGAAGAGAACTGAAATATCACCTCCAAACACCCCCCATCAGAAGCACCAACCATCTCTGTGAAAGCCCTGCCCTGGCCTACTCACCTCCAGGTCCAGGGCAGGGGCCCTCATATCCTCCAAGGGCAGTTCGAATCCCTCCACAGGTGGCACTGGCCATGGAGATTTCCCTTAGTTTCTCATACTCTTTCCCCTCTGGAGTCTTTACACCTATTGGTCTCACAAGGCTATTCTCAGGTTAAATTTTTTCCCCCACAAAAGAGCCCTGTTGGAAAAGAATCTTCATATCCATGTCTTTCCCTGAAACTAAATGTTCTGGTTCCTTCGCTGGCCCCAAAGGGTGCCTGGGTCCTGTCCCCTGAGCTTATTCTGATTTCTTTCTTGCCCCCTCATGGAGTGCATCCCGAATTGCTGGCACATGCCACGTGTCGTCCAACCTGTGCAGGGACAGCGAGCTGACCCTCTTCTTTATTCTGGAGGTTGCACTGACCCTCAGAGTAATGACACCCCTGCCCAGGCGACGAGTCTTTGAAATCAGGGTGGCGGTCAGGACTGGCGCTAAGGCCTCACCCTCTACCATCCAGACAGGAAGCGGTGGGCAAGGTGCTGGCTTCCCCAGCAAACTATCGGGGACTGGGCCATGCCTATCTGGCCCCACCCGAGCCGACCCACCACCACAGTAATGACGAGATTACCAGGCACCAAGGACACAGCTTATTAGACAGGACGTGAGAAAAGTGATGATCAGCAACTTCTACAAAAATATTTAAGTCTCAAATATTAGAGGCCCCAACTGCCTTTTAAATTTAAAAAAACAACCTGCTTTTGTATAAACGATGCATGCTTGTTTTAAATAATTCAAACAACATAGAACAGTCCAAAGGAGAAAATACAAATCACTTCAAATGTCACTGCACAGCAAGAACCAGAGTTAACATCTGTGTATGAGCCATTTTACGTGGATTTACTGGGCCCTACCTTGTTTGGGGTTAAAAACGTTTAGGGGATTTTCTCCTATTCCTTGGTCTATGGTGATCTTCAGCCACCGCAGGGCTGGCCTGTAAGGAGGTGGGGGAGGGCTTGAGGGGTTATTTTTATTTATTTAAGCCTCTCTAAGACCAGGATGCCAGGGCTCGGACTGTAGCTCCTATCTGGTTTTAGGCAGAGACACATGGATACTACAAATAGCCTGGAAGCCCCTTCTGTTCTGGGTAACCGGAGAGCAGGGCACATTCCCCGCAGGGCAAGCGGGAGCCTCAGGCCGCACGTCTGGCTCCGCCGGAGATGAGGGGAAAAGGGTGCAGGGGGTCAAGTACCCATAACGGGGCTGGCCCTCCGCTTTCCAAGTCCTGAGCACCTGTCCGACAAAGGGAGCTCAAGTTGCTGTCAACGCCGCGTCCGCTCACACAGATTAGGCCATGAGGAATCTCTGGGACCGTAAATTATTGGGGGGAGGGGGAGCACAGGCCACTTTCACTCCACAGGTCCAGATGTGTCTCCGTGCTTTTAAGGCACTTGCTCACGGAAGGATCTGGAAACTTTTCCTTCCTGATGTGAGGTGGACCCAGTGTTTGGAGGCCCCATCCGTCCTCTTTGCCCTTCCAAAGGCTGTGCCTTCCTCAGAGCCAAGGCTCCTCTCCTCCCAGGCTGCCTGCTCCCCAACTGCCTTTCTCCGCTCCCTCCTGCTGCCTGCATGGCTCTTGGCGGCTTCCAACAGCCCTGCAAGTCTGCTTGGCTATGGCTGGCAAACCTAAGGATACCTGTTAAGACACTGCTAGATGGTATCCTCAAGCAGGTATCTCCGTGCTTGCTTTCCATCTCTAACCAGCCTATTGTCCAAGTAACTGGGTGATCCAAGCTACTGTCCTCCCAAGAAACCTCGGACAGGCAGGCCCACCTTCCAAGCCCTCTCCGCTAAGTACCTTCGAGATAATCTCCCCAATGACTCATGAGGGGAGGCGCCTTCCCAGACTCTGAGCAAGCTCCCCACACAGACATGCTGGCCCCCTCAAGTCAGCAGAAAAACAAGAATGCATTTCAGGGGCCTGGCAGACCATCCTCCCCTCCCCAACCAGGAGCAGACTCGGGCCACAGGGAGGCAGGGCCAAGTTTTTACCCCCACTGTTTGCTCTGGGGAGGAGGGAGGCAAAACCTGGAGCAGCCTCCACCGCCACTCCCCCAGGCTGGGGACAGAAGAAACATCTGTTTGGAGTCTGGAGGCTCCACGCTCAAACCTCATGCTGGGAAAGCACAGCCATGAATCGCTCAGGCTCTGACTGCCAAGGGAAGCTGTGTTCTCTGTGAGCTGGGGTGCAGGGCCATCACCCCATGGCCCAGGGCCTCCCTGTCCTTGCCACAGGTCCAGGGCCGAGGATGACCAAGGCAGCCAGGGCATAAGCTGGCACTGTCCGGCCCACTGGACTTGGAGAAATCTATACGCCAAGAGTGGCCTCACCCAGCTGTGGTGGGTCTCAGGGTGCCCACNGCCAGGGCATAAGCTGGCACTGTCCGGCCCACTGGACTTGGGGAAATCTATAAGCCAAGAGTGGCCTCACCCAGCTGTGGTGGGTCTCGGGGTGCCCATGTCAGAGATCCAACCCTGCAGAGTCTGACAGTCTGATTTTTGACTGTCCCCGTTTCCAGGCTTCAGGCAGCTGGGCCTCATCCTGGGGAGGCGCCCCTCCCCAGCTTCGTGCACTTGGCTCTACTTCACCATCGTCTGGATCCAGTTGCATAACACACTCCATCCGAAGCTGTTTCTGCAATTAGGATGACAGCTAATCCCAAGCAGCCAAGAAAGAGAAGGCTTTTAAAGTATACAAGGAGTTCTTATGACCCCAAGGGGGCCGAGAGTCGAAGCGCGTCATCCGAGACAACACAACAGGGGCAATACTCATGTTCCAACAACTCGGGCCAAGGCGCAGGGAGCCAGGTCTCCATTCTGCCCCCAGACTGAGAGCTGCTGCTCAGAGGGGCGGCTGCCTGGCTCAAGGCGAGCCCTTCAATACCGAGTGTGGGTCTCGGGGCCGGTCACCTGCTGGCTTGGACGTCTTCTCTGGCCAGGCTCCTGTGGGTGTGGGGGCTGGGCGGTTGGGCAGGGAAAGGAGTGNAGGCTCCTGCGGGTGTGGGGGCTGGGCAGTTGGGCAGGGAAAGGAGTCAGGAGGCCGGCAAGGCTTGGGGTGAGAGCACCTCCTAGACATGGGCCCTGGGCACACAGACCAGAAACAAAGCAGAGGCTTAAGTTACCCGCACAAAGGCAGGTGGGCGGGTGAGCAGGAGGGAATGAGGTTGTTCCTCCAAGAAACTCTGCTTTGGGGAGGCCTTCCTTCCCTCTGACTTCCTCCCCTTAACTCCTCGAGGCGTAGCATCAGGTGGCCCTGAACGCACTCATCTGTACCCCATGCTACTTTGGGCCCTCAACGGACAAAGCAATGGCCCCCCTGCCCTGGTGTGATAGCAGGGGAGCGAGGGTACTGCAACGCACCTGGCTCCACTCCCTCGCTCCTGCCCACACCTTTAAGGACTCCCTCACTGACTCAGCACGAATGCACCCCTGCCAGAACCCCAGCAGCTACATCCCGCTTCGCCTTGCTCCCGACACTCAGAGGGTTGCCCTCAGACAATGACCACATCCCACTGGCCTCCCAAGCGCCTCCCGATCCCAGAATTGTCCCCGACCAATCTCCCCATGAGTGGGTAGGCAATTTCATATGAAACACCACAACAACATTTAGGGAAGCAAGATCTACTTATTGGAGATGTTTTTTAAATGTCCCCCAGGCAGACATTACGGAATTTCCTGACGATCAGCAGCTGTGGCTCGCCTAGGCAACTACATCTTTCCACCAGCCCAGGGAGGACAGACTCAGTGCTTGCTCTGAGGGACTTTAATCCCACTGCCCGTCATGTCCTGTCTGTGGCTGGTCCCCCAGACCATCTTTTGCTGGGCCAGCCACCCAGCAAAAAGGGCAGGTGTACTGAGGAGAGAGCCCGGCTCCATGACCCAGTGCTGGGGGATCCAGTCTCCCCATCTATTCAGGAGAGACAGACTGGATGGCCTCAAGGTCCCTGGCTCTGCAGATGGCTGCTCCATACTCTGCCAGCCCGTGTGCTCCAGCCAAACAGAAGTCAGGCTCCAGGACTGGGCCAGGAATGCTAGCCAGTGGGACTGCCATATACTCACTCAGCCATGGTGAAGGCCAGCTCGAAGTTCTTCTGCGGCTGCGTGGGGCTCAGGGAGCTGTAGTCGAAGGCATCAGGGAAGAATGAATGCACCAGGGCGCAGAAGGCCATTCCATCGCTCCAGCTGGAGGAGAAGTTCTGCAGGTCCACGTGCTGCAAGCAAGGCGAGGTCCATGCAGACAGGTGAGGGTGCAGGCAGGCGAGGCCCACCTCAGCTCCCCTACCCCATTTTACCCCACAGGCAGATTCTCCCAACCCCTCCCCAAGGTCCACCATCCACTCAGCTCAGCCACAGCTGTAGTCACCAGGCCTCACCCCATGAGGGGCACTAGACCAGTCTACATGAGTCCAGACACAGGACTCCTGGGATGTGCTAGGAACTGACCTGGGAGGCACAATTTCTCTAGCTCCTTACCCACCTCACCCACCCCCGCCTAGGGTTCTTGTGCTAGCCAGGGTAACTAAAGCAGGAGGTGATGCTTAGTCTGGTGGGATCCCAGGGGCCGGGTGGGACCCTGGGCTCACCTGGTAGCCCAGAGTCTTGTTGCGACACCACTCAAGCAGGATCTGCTTGATGCTGCTGGCGCTGGCCACCCCAAAGCTCTGTGACCGCTTCAGCTTGGCCCGGGCCTCGCCCTTCCCCCTGTGGAGAGAGTGCAGCCTGCCATGGGGGCTGTCCCTCAGCTTCCATCTCCTCTGAGAAGCAGGGGAGCCCCCAGACATTCCCACACCATCAGCAAGATGGTCCCACCTGCTCTGCTCACCCAGGGGAGGTGCTCTGTCAGTATATAGCTTCCCTCACCCCCCATGACCCCCACATACCAGCTACACAGCTGCCCTTGATGATATCTGGCAAGAGCATCATCCCCCCCTTCCAACCTCCAGGTGCCCCTTGGAACCCTCTTAACACCTATTACACCCCTCCTTCCAAGCCTCCCTCTGAGGCCACCTGTGCTGATGGCTCTTTTCTGGCCAAAAAGGATGGTTTCCGTCTCTGGGCCCCAAGAACACTCCCTAACAGCCGAGATGAGGTTGTCTGGGCCACTGGGGACACTCCCTGGGTCTGTCTCCCTCACTAGAGTCTAAGCCTTGAGAGCCAGTACTGGGGACCTCTCATTATCACAGGCCTGCAGGTGTCACTCCCACACACTGACAGGAGGGCCACATAAGTATGCAAGGGTGGGTCCCATCACTAAGGGAAGGATTTGAGGCATGACAGTGGACCAGTGCGTACTTGGGTCCTGGGTGTCACTTCCCAGCTCCTGCTAGGAACCCCAATCAACTGCCCTCCTGGTCTTCCAGTCACTCCCAGAAACCAAAGGGGCTACGACTCACAGGGAACTTGGGTGTGAGGGCAGCCTGGGGGAACCCTCTGGGAACTGGGCAGAGGAGGATCTCATCAGGCCTTGCCTGGCCCCCTGCCCCCAGCCCACCCTGCGGCCCAGCCCTGACACCCTGTGTCTTGCCCAAGAGGTCACATCTTAGGGAAGGGCCCCTGGGGAATAGCACAGGGCCAGCATTCCTGCACTGTGCCTTCTGGACCCTGGTCTGGCTCTGGATCTGGGCTTATGCTGCGGGCCAGGGCCTGGTCTGAGGACTAACATCCGTACTTGCCCACTGTATCCTGCTCCCACTTCTCAAACAAAGCCTTCCGGGCCTGCGCACTCGAGGTTCGGGGCAGTGTCTGCGACCTCACCAGCTCCCGGCGATGGGCCTGAGTGGTAGCTGGCAGCTGTGGGGATGGGGGCGACTGGGATGGCGTCACCAGAGGTGGGCTGAGGAGAGAACCACGGAGTCAGGAACGAGTCGGGAACCCAGGTCCAGCCATCACTAGCTCACACATGCCCCAGGCTCCTCCTCCCCACTGAGTGTGAAATGAGGCAGAAACGGGGGCTTGGTGGCAGGCAGAAGGAAGAAGGCACCGCCTGCTCCAGGCTCTGACTGGTTAGGCAGGTTTTCTGAACTGAGCTGCTGTCTGAAGCAGGCCTGGCCAGCATGCCCAACTCCAACTCCAGCAGAGAGGATGGCCCCTCACTGGGTGAGGGTGTCAATGCCCCAGGCAGGCAGGGGACATCCTCTCAGGCAGGAGGTGCACCCAGAACCAGTCCCACCAGAACCAGACTCCCCTCCTCCACCACCACTAGATAAGACCCTCTTTGTTTTCCCCCTGGAAGAGTTGGCCAGAAAGTCACAATTCTTTTATTATTAAAAGAAAAAGAAAGCCAAGCCAGTCCCCCATCCCCATCTCCAATCACAGTCCAGCTGGCCTGGGGGAACACGAGGACTCCCACAGGCCAGGAGGAGGCCTGTACCACAGGAACCCTGCAGGCCTGCCCTAGCCTATGGCCCTCCAGGTACCTTCAGTCCAGGGGCAGGAAGCACCCTGGCTCGGAGGGACCCTAACCAGGATGGATGGGTGGATAAAGAAGGGAGTGGGAGACCCTCATACCCTCCTTCCTCCAGGCGGACGGAGACACCCCTCCAGTCCTTTGACAGGCTTGTTTTTAAGGGTCCACTCCATAGAGAAACCAGCCTGCAGCCACACTTCTCCAAACAAAACTCCCCACCCCACCCCACTGCCTCATGTCCCTGCTCTGAGCCTCCCCCACAACCTTGCTGCCTCTGCTCTGGAGGCAACAAGCCAAGGAGTGTGCCTCCTTCTGGAGTCAGCACAGGGAGCTCCCCAAAGGTGGCCTGGGCACCTAGGATGACACCTAGGGAGTGATGATCTCACCCACCAGAAACACAGGCCCTGACTCACCTGTCATTGTTCCTGCCTGGTGTCACTGCCCCATAGCCAGAGCCCAACAAGGACCGTGAGAGAGAGTTCTTCTCTGTGGGACAAAGGGAGGGGGAGAAATAACATACCCTGCTCTCAGAGAGGGCCGCCCTCGCCTGCCTCCCTCTGACCCTGCTCTGCACTGTTTACCCAGTATTACTCCATGGGAGGACCCCTGGGCTAAGCTGGCCCCACCTCAGCCAACAGTTGAGAAGACAGGAGGCTGAGAACATAAAGCAATGACATGAAACGTCTTTTAAAGTGTCCCACCTGCTTTTGGGAGCACAGAGTCCAGGGCCTCCTGTGCTATGTACCCAGCAAATACTTTGTTCCCAAATCCTCACTTTGGAAGCCCATATGGCCCCACCCAGGTCTACCATGGAGGCCTGACCACAGGTCCATGTCAGGCCTAGGGGGGACTATGCCAAAATGTGCAAGGTAAAAGGCCACCTTCTAACCACAGCCTGGACCTGTAATAAAACCCATGGCTGTCACCTGCAAAGGATGGTGCTATATCATGGCCGCTATGGCAGAGGAGTCTGGCAAGGATGGGCCCCCCTGGAGGGTGCAGACAGGCCAGAGAAGGGAGTCATAGTGATAGGCAGGGGAGCTGGGGCTTAGCCCCAGATTTCTTGAGTCTCTGGCTGAACATCCCCCCACCCCCTGCCCTCCCTCCAAGGCCAGAGTTGGGGTTTGCCCCCCAAACCCCTGCTCCTACCACTGGGACTGGAAGTCCAGGGTGTGGTGGCCTCACTGGGGCTGGAACTGAGGACCCCCAGGACGGCAGCAGACGTAGGCGAGAGAGCTGTGGCTGAAGTCTCTCCAGAGAACCTCTCGGAGACCCGAGTGACAGCCGTGACTGGCTGGTGGGGCAGCCCCAAGGAAAGGCTCATGGGCCGAGACTTGCGGAGTTCTGGTGCCGGGAAGGTCTGGGCAGCCTCAGGGGGTCCATCACCTGGACCTGGACATGTGACAAGAGGGGGACAGTAGTGTTAGCCATGGCATCCACCAGGGCCTGACACCCCAGGAGGGCTCCAGCCTCCCTGAACCCTCCTCCCACCTCCTCCAAGAAGGCCTCCCTGACCACTCCAGTCTCCCTGACCTCCCCCTAATGGAGACTTTTCACTGCTCCAAACTGAGTTCACGTGTTTCAACTTCCCCTCACAGCCAGGTCAATGGCCTGTCCATTCCCTCTCTACCCTGCTCAGCCCTGGACAACTTCTCAGCCCCTGCTTGCATTCCTCCAGAAACAGGAAAGCTCACCACCTTCCAAGATCTCCCATTTCCCTCAGTGCTGAAATCTACTTCACTCTGAATGAGGCTACTCTCCTGGCAGCCTCTCCATGCCTTGGGGTTTAGGCTCAAGTCACTCCACGCAGCCAAGGGATGGCCTGGCACAGATGCATGCCCGCCAAGGCCCTGACCCCAGAGCTACCCATCCATCCCTCCTCTACAGTCGGCCCCTACCTGTGCCTGGCTGGTGCCCATTCTCAATGATGCACAAGTTTGAGGTCCTTCTCATCTCCGCCTCACTGGCCTCATCGTGATGATCCACACTCTACAGAGACACAAACACCGCAAAGGCCCAGTCGGCCAAGGCCGCTGCCCCCCTCCAAAATCGCTCCCCAAAGCCCCTCCTGATTCTGGCAGGGAAAAAACAGTCACACGTGAAAAAGAGAGCTACCATGATGGGCCAAAGACACACAGCAAGCTGGGGCAAACCCAACCCCAGCTGTTGAGCTCCTGGGATTCTGTGAGGCAAATGCCGCCTCCACTGGGTTCATCTCAGAACCCAAAAATGCTAGGAGCAAAGGTCAAGACGGAGGGTTCCAAAAGAGTGTGTGAGATGCCTCCCCCACCCCCGCCATCCCAGGCTGGACCAGATGACCGGGGTCAGGAGAGTCTGGCTCCGGCTCATCCCAGCAGGGCAGGCTGGCGTGGCTGCCTGTGTGGGAGCAGCTGAAACACAGAGACATACATAAGCGCCTTCTGGGCCAACAATAGGTACTGGAGCCCTCCTGTTGGATGCAGGGTCACAAGATTTGCCCAGATGTCCAGAGCACAGGGGCCTGATTGGCTCCACAGCAGCCCCTCCATCCACTCCACACTGCAGAAGTGGAGGAGGGGTGCAGAGAGAGAGCCAAGAGCAAGAGCCAGCGGGAGAGCCTGGCATCCTGGCTGTGCCGCCAATCACCAGGGCCTGAGTTAGCTCATGCCCCCTCTGAGAATCAGTTTACTTGTTTGAAATATGGGAGTAGGCTATAAAAGTGCCATGTGAGTATCCACTAAGTGTCAGGCCCTTTTTCTGGGCTTGCCTCTTATACCAACTTACTTCTGTCCTCCCAGGTACATGCTACCAGCCCCATTTTACAGATGGGACGCAAGGGCTCAGAAAGGGCATGTGCACAGTCCAAGGTTACACACAGTGAGAAACAGCCAAGAGAGACATTCTCCTCAAGTGTTGTCCTGCCATTCTCACAGTGAGGGACGTGTGAAGGGCTCAGAGTGTCTATGAGGCTGCTGGAGTCTGCTGGCAAGAGCGAGCCCAAGGCAGACCCCTACCAGGGGCTCTACTAAGTAAGAACCCAAAATGGATGGCTTGAGAGGTTGGCTGTATCTCTCCCTACATGCCTCCAGGCTGGTCCCCTTGTCTACAAGGTTCCCAGGTGACCAAAGCCCATCCCTGGGCCCCAGATGGCTCAGTTACGCCTGCAACCCGTGCAAGAGGTGGGTCCCCTGCCATGGAGAATCGGTCTGGTGGGGGAACCAGGACTGTGAGCAGAGCGCCAACGCAGCATGAGGGGTGTGCCTAAGACAGACTTCATCCAGCCCAGCAGGTCAGGGAGGGCTTCCCAGAGGCAGGGGTGCCTGAGCCAAGTCTAGAGTAAGCCAGGCAGACAAGGAGGGGAGGCCATTCCCAGCAGAGTGACTACTAGTCTATGAAAGCAGACAGACATCAGGGCACAAAGCATTCTGATCTGGTGTCTGCTGAAGCACCATGCAGCCCCAAGAACTTGGACTTGACTCCTTGAACAAGAAAGAGCTTCTGTGTTTTAGGAACATGCCTTAGAAGCCAGGAAAAGAGTGGCATGGCAGGGGGAAACCAGATGGCCAGCCGCCTCACCAGTCCCAAGTGGGGATGTGAGGAGGGGAGACGGGGCAGAGGGAAAGCGAAGGGCAAGGACTCAGAGCTTTGAGGAGAGTGAGTGGATGTGGAGAAGCGAGGACGCCACTCCTCCTCCAAGCCGGGCTTCAGGCTTGATGGGGCTAGGAAGGGAGAGGACATTGGTGGGGAAACAAGAACTTCAGCTTGGGACATGACAAGGGTAGGGTGCCCTGGGGCATCGGGGAGTTGAGGTCAGGAGGTAGCTGGATATTCGAGTGTGAAGTTTAAGAGAAAAGACAGACAAACGATGAAGAGGCAGGAGTCTCAAATCCAGAGCACAGCGGAGGGGGCGCTGGCTTGGGGCTGATGGGGCCAGGGATGCAGCACCACATCTGGGGGCAGAAGGGACATCTGAGGAGACAGAGCAGTCAGGCCGGTAGGAAGGAAACCAGAATGCTAGAAAGGTAGGTGGAAGTGTGTCAAGAAGTCAGGCGTGTCAGTGGCGTCCAAAGGTGGCCTCGGGTCAAGGAAAAGAAGGTCAAGGTGAGATCGAAAAAGCGTCCATTGGGTTTAGCAAAAAAGAGGTCACTGGTGACAGTTTAGGACTGAATCCAGAGGTGGGGGTGGGGCACAGGAGATGGCCTGGGGGAGAAGCCGGGGAGAAAGGGAGACCATACAGTAACTTTAGCCATGAGGGAAGAGGGGCAAAGGGGTTAGAGGGATTCTTTCAGATGGAAGGGACAGGACAACATTTACAGGCTGAGAGAAAGGCTCCAGCAGGGTGAGAGGACCCTCTGCAGGGTAGGGTCTCTGGGGAAGTGAGGGGGGACAGGACTCAGAGCCTGGCCTTGGAGAGAAGGTGACCCTTCAACTTCGAATTCAGGAGAACAGAGGGGGAGGGGCCAGGCCCACTCCAAGGAACTATGGAGGTTGGGGTGCATCTCCTGGCACCCCAGCATGGGGAGGGACCCCTAGAGCCACAATGTTGCTAACTGGAAGCCAACTCAGCAGGAAGTGGAGAAAGAGCCAGTCCATCCTGAACCCCAGCCCCCACCTATCACCAGGTGCCACCCAGCTCTGGGGTCTCCATG